GTAAGTATAAAATCCGGTTCTGTGAGGTCTTCTTGGCCGACGAGGGTGTGGCCGACGAGGGCACCCGGGTTCCCTGGGCTCAGGACCATAATCTGAGTTGGCACCTTCTCGGCCGACGGGGGTCCCTTGGCCGACGTGGGCGCCACTCGGTGTCTTGTGCTTTCTGTTCTGAGTATGTGGGTCCAGGGGCTCAGACCCATATACTCCATCAGGAGTCCCCCACTCTCTAAGCTGAGACGTAGACGAAGTGAAGGAGAGTAGATTCCCGTGCTTCAGTGCTTTTGGCCGATGCGGACATTCCCAGGCCGTTAGCTGTTGCGGCGTTGGCGCTGTCTCCATTTTGGTGATCCTGTTCTGTGCTTTGGCCGGTACCTAGGGCTGAGCAAAACCGACCCTACCCGAATAACCCGATCGGGTGAACCCGATTTTTTGTGATTGGGTCGGTTGACCCGACCCGAACCCAGCGACCCGAACCGCCCACCCTATAATTTTTGGGCCGACACCAAGCGGGTAGGGTTTTCCTAATCCCTACCCGAACCGCCCGAAAACCCGACCAAGCCTAAGCCCATTACCCAACTCCCCAACTACCCAAGCCCATTAGCCCACAGCCCACTCCCTTAGTCCCTTTCCGGCTTTCCCTTATCCAGTTATCCCCATTTCCCTTCGGCCATTACCCTAACTTACACTCTCAGACTCTCTCTCTCTAACTCTCTAAGCGGCTAACCCTAATTTGGTCTGACTTCTCACTTCGTCAGCCGCCGTTGCCGTCGTTGTAGGGCTGTAGGCCTGTAGTCCTCAACCGAGTGGAAGCCTTCATCTCCTTGTAGGGTTTACCGTCTCTACTCTCTAACCTAGTGGAACTGTGGAAGCCTTTCATCTCCTTCGTCTCGAGCCGTTGAGGTATAAAATACTTATTCCGTTATTCGTATTATGGTAAGTTTAGTCCTTCATGAATGATGATGCATGGATGTTCTGAGTTGTGATTAGTCTTGTGATGTTCGTATATTTGTGAAACTTGCATGTACAAATCTGTTCGAATGTTCGGTTATCCACTTATCCTGTTGTCCTTGATGAATGATGATGCATGGATGTTCTGAGTTGTGATTAGTCTTGTGATGTTCGTATATTTGTGAAACTTGCATGTACAAATCTGTTCGAATGTTCGGTTATCCACTTATCCTGTTGTCCCTGTTAATTGTTGATGTATATTAGGATGCATTCAGAATTTCAAATCTGTTGATTTGAAATATGAATGAAGTGTGGAAGCTAATCAAGCTATATATTCTATATTCATGTGTTGCCTACTGAGTACTGACTACGGTTATCCAGTTGTCCCTGTTATGTTGTTTGTTGTACATAAGTAACATAACTGCCTTATTATTTTGATGAAGAAGCCTTTTTCAACTCTAGTACTCAAACGAGTACAAAGAGTGAACTGGGTTCTTCAGAGTCTGTAGAGAAGTGAAAAAGCAAAGTGCTTTTATCCTTCTGTAAATCAGCTTGCTGATTGTTCCAGACTTACATATTATGGTTATTATTTGTGAGATATGAACTCTGTGGAATCTCTTACTCACTGCATATGTACAACTCTTATTCATGTGTTGCGTACTTGCCTTATCTGTGAGGTATGAACTCTGTGGAAGCTTAGTATACACATATCAATATATCATGTGTTGCTTACTTGCTTACACTAGATGGACCCTGAAGAATGTGTGACCTTTTCTACATCTGGATCTCAACCTCCTCTGAGTCAAGAAACAGTGGTGGAAAGTCAAATTCCTGAGCCTAACATTACCAATGAGCAGACTGCACCACCTGCTGTTTCTGGACAAAAGAGAAAAGTGGTTGACAAAAGATCTAAGATTTGGGATCACTTTGATGAAATTAAGGATGAAAAGGGTGTGGTTATTAAGGGGAGGTGCATATACTGTGCAAAAATATACTGTTGTCACTCTAAGAAACATGGAACTTCCTCCATCAGAAATCACATGCTTAATTGCATGAAAAACCCCCATGCTAAAGACACTAGACAAGCCCTATTAACCTTCCAGCCTGTACCTCCACAGACAGGTGAACCATCTGGAAAGACTGGGGTCATGGGAACTTAGGTATTTGATCAACAAGCTATTAGGAGAGCTCTAGGTGAAATGCTAATCATTGATGAGCTTCCTTTTAGATTTGTAGACAGACAAGGTTTTAGGAATTTTGTTGCTGCAGCCTGTCCTAGGTTTCAAATTCCTTCTAGATGGACAATTGCTAGAGACATTTTTCAAATATACCTTGATGAAAAAATGACTCTAAAAAGGAATTTTAGGGAACAAACTCAGAGAGTTAGTATAACTACTGATACATGGACCTCTATTCAGAGGATAAATTACATGTGCATTACTGCTCATTTCATAGATAATCAGTGGAAGCTCCAGAAAAAAATGTACTAGTTAAAAAAACCCGAAAGGGTATTGGTTTTACCCACCCGCCCGACCCGAACCCGCCCGATGCTCACCCCTACCGGTACCTGCTCCTCGCTGTGGGCGGGGAGGCCGTTGTTTCCTTGATGTGTTCATTTGGGGACGATGAGTGTCCTGCTTCAATGGTGGCCGTTGAAGGCGCGCTTTCCCTTTCTTGGACGTTGATGGTTGAAGTTTATATTTGGGCCGACGAGGCCACTGAGGTTACACCTTGTTTCGAGGACGATGGCGTCCTTTCCTTTGGGTGGCCGATGAGGGTGTTTGCGCACTCCTTTTGGCCGTCGCTGATTGGCTTTCGTGTTCTTGGCCGAAGAGCCCATTGTGATTAACCGTGGCGGGGGACGATGAATGTCCTTGCCTTAGGTGGCCTGTTGGCCGTTGTTGATGATGTTGTGTGCCTTTGGCCGACGATGTGGCCATGCTTTGTGGTTGCATTCATGTTCTTTGCATTGTTCCTTTTTGTTTTGTTGAGGCCGGTGTAGTCCCCCAGTCCCCCACTGCTTCAGGCCGAAGAGTGTGAGGGGTGAAGGAGTCCCTTTTTGCTCCTGGCCGAAGCGGCCTCTCCGTAGTGCCCCTGAATCCAACTCTCATGGCGATTTTCTGGCCAAGGTAACCCTGTGGGAGAACCCTTGTGCGCTGATCGCTTGTAAAGAGTTATCATCAAGGGTCGTTACGAGGGGCCGATGGCTGTGGGTTCTTTGTTCCTGTGGTTCTGTGGCCGTTACGGGCGTTCATTACGTTCCTGGCCGTTGCCATCTCCTTATTGTTGGCGTTTGTGAACTTGGCAAGCAAAAAAGGCCGTTGTGGGTGCTTGCTGGCACTTGTGAAGCCGGCAGGCGTATAGGCCGTACAGTCTGTTTTGCCAGTGGGCTCTTGGTATGTAGGTTGGGCCTGACCCTTTGATGACGTGGTGGCCTCCCATTGGTGGCCGTTGATGTGGCCATTGGGAGGGTGCCACGTGTAGTGACCGTTGGGTGGGGGGTTCTATAAATACCCCTCCCCCTCCGACGAGAAACCGTATTTGCATTCTGAGTTGTCGAAGTGCTGGCCAAATTTCTAGAGAGATAAACTCCCAAGCTTGTTCTTCGTGTTCTTCGTGTTCAAGGTTAGTGTTCATCGCAATCTTCTGTACTTTGCATACTTTGCTTCCTAGGCTACTGATCTAGTGTTAGGCGCTTGAACACCCTTAGATCCTAGGTTATTCCCCTTAGGCTCGTAGTAGTTGTTATGATGAAGAGCTTGAACGAAGACTACTATCCATACGACGACCAGCCCTCCACTAGGTCACTCGACTATGAGGTGCTTGAGGAATTCGAGGAGGAGATACAACATTAAAGTCCTTACAAGTCCGGAGAGCCGGTGGACGACGAAGTCGAGGACGAGGAGTCCGCCTCGTCTTCAAAAGGTGAGGACGCAGGTGCGTCCCGAGTGGTGGATGGGGCGTCCACTTCCGCTGTCATTCCATGCCCGAGACCGGTGTCTGCCGTGAAGGGAGCAGATAAGCCGAAGAGAATAAGGAGACCGAAGAGTGGGCCGGGCATCTCCTACCTGGATCTCACAAACATCTTCCTGATCAAGCCGGAGAGCAGCGCGGCCGACTACTTGGTTGCCCAGATGTATGTGGGGCCGTTCGGGCGGGTTAGGGCACCCAGGCCGACGGACCATGTTCTTCATCCGCCATCGGGATACTTTGGAGTATACCCGATGAGTTTCGCCAAGGGGCTGAGGTTTCCCCTTCACCCCTTCATCACCGAATACCTTGACATGGTGGGGCTCCCTCCGGCCTTGCTGACGCCGAACAGCTATTCATTGATGGTGGGGTTTTTGCTCCGCTGTGAGGAGCTGGGCTACAGGCCGAAGACGGCCCTGTTCATGAATCTGTATCAGATAGGCCGAGGAAGCCACAAAAATTGTGCGGCCTATGCTACTCTCCAACAGCTGCCGAAGAAGAGGAGCTTCACGGACTTGCCTTCGTCCATTCATGGGTGGAAGAGCAAGTTCGTTTTTGTATCCCTTGGTGAGAATGGCACTGAGTTTCCCTCTCTCGGCCATACTGGGAGGTTCAATCTGCATGACCCGCCGAAGAGTTCTATCTTGGACGCTCAGGTGGAGGCTTTCTTGGAAGGGGGCCCGAGGAGCGTGAAGGATTATATCACCGAATACAAGATGACCGCCCTCGGCTTCTTAAGATACCATGTGTATGGCGATAAGGAGGACGATATCCAACTCTGGCCGAGGATGACCACCACCTTCGAAGAGGCCGATGGCCCGGATTTGGGCATTCCTGCTGAGGCCGATGGTAATTATTTCTTCGGCTTTCTTCCTTTATGATTTGTTCTTTTGCCTTGCTAATCTGTTGATTTTCCTTTGTGTAGATTTTGTCATGGATCGTCGTTCCATCATGGCTATAGCCAAGGCCAAGGCGGCCGAGGAGTTGGCTGCAAAGGCGGCCGAGGCGGCCAGACGTGCCGCGGCCGAGGGAGGCGGGGCTACTGCTGGTGCGGCCCCAAAGCCTGCCCAGTCCAAGAAGAAGAGGCCTCCCACTGACGGCCAGAAGAAATTGACTGAGGCCGGCCTGAACGTCGCCAAGAAGACGAAGAGGGCACCGTCTCCTTCCCAGGCTACTGAGGCCGGCACTCTTACCGTCCCCAGTGTGGACGATAGTGGTCCTGTTGTGGACCTCACTGCTGCTCCTAGCGATGCTGCCCAATCGCTTCCTCTCGTCCAGGAGCCACGGACGAAGAGGGCCGACAAGGAGATTGTCGGTGCCACCTACCAGAAGATGGTGGAATACCCCGTCGGCGGGGGTGTTTTTGATGACATTGTCCTCGGCCACGATGTGCTGGCCCAGGCCATGCCGGCCAAAGATAGGGCCTACCTGAAGAGGCTCGGGGACGTGAAGGTGTACGAGGGCGGGATGGACCTCCTCGTCCAAGTAAGTTCCTTTCCTTTTGCTTGCCGTTTTTCTCGTCGTCCGGGTAGAGTCATTTGCCTGAGTTTTGTTTTCCTTTTTTATGCAGGGTGCCTTTATGCTCATGGAGAGCCATAAGAGGCAGTACCGGGAGATAGCTCGTCTGAAAGAGCTTGAGCAGAAAGCTGCCTCGGCCGATGAGGCGGTCGCTTGCTTGGATCGGCTCCGGGAGGATGCCAAGGCCTTGCAACAGAGGGCCGACGTGGCCGCTGCAGCCAGGGACGATGCCCTGGCCAAACTCGAGGAGAGCCAGAGGGCGCTTGAGGCCAAACGGCGCAAAAACGATGATGCCGTGAAGGCGAAAGCTGAGACCGAGGCTGCCGCTGTGAAGGCCGCTGATGAGGCCGTTAAGCAATTCCTGGCCGAGGGGTGGAAGGCCGATGAGCGGCTCTCCTGGTGCTATGAGGTGGTGGCCGCTAAGCTTGAAGATTGGGGGATGAACTCCCCCGCCGGCCATGAGTATTTTAGCAGGGAGATGGCCGTGTACTTTAACATGGGCCAGGAGCGGATGCAGAGGCTCCTGTGTCGGCGGCTATCTCGTGCTCTTAAGGCCATGAATTACACTTCCGGGTGGGCTAGACGGAACTTGAAGCTTCCCAAGCTGATGAAAGATCCTGAAGAGCAGGCCAAGCTCCCTCTGTCGGAGCGGGAGTCCCCCATTGAGAGTTCCGGCCTCGGCGAGCCGGATTACACGGAGTTTGACTTCCTGGACGACGCTACCAGCTCTGCGGCTGCCGCCGGCCAGGAGACTGAGGCCGAGGAGGGAGCTGAAGACGTCGAAGAGCCAGCCGAGGATGGAGGCGCCCAAGAGGCTTGATCGGCTACTCCCCGCTCCCTTGTAATTAGTTTTTTATTTTTGCCCAATTAATGTAATGGCCGAAGCGCCCACCATTGTACTGAATTGCTTATGAATGAAAATTTTGTTGTCCTGCTCGGCTTTGAATTTCTTGTATGTTTATTGCCCTTTGCCATTTCAATTCTGAAATTTGTCTAAGTGTAAAAGTTACAACTTAGGTCACCCGCGAGTGTCTGCTACGTCCGTGAGGTAGTCCATCCTGTCTGGTGGCCTGGTCGGCCTGGCCGTCGTTTCTTTACTAGCATAACACTTAGGATTTATTCAAAAATTTCCTAAGTGTTTTGGGTCCACAGTTGCTTTCTTTCCGGTCTGGTGGCTTGGTCGGCCTGTCCGGTGTTTCTTTGCTATCGTAACACTTAGGATTTATTCAGAAATTTCCTAAGTGTTTTGGGTCCACTTAAGTGCTTTCCTTTCCGTCCCTGACCGTGGTGTCCGCTCCGTCCTGGCATTGTCCCATCGTCCTGGTATTGAATCTCTCCTCATTATTGACAAATGATTTGGGAGATTTCCTAAGTGTTGAACCAGTGTCGTCGTGGTCGGCCCAGTGTTTTTCATGGCCGTCGTGTTCCTTTGTTCATGATCTGATCAGGAAGGTCGGCCTGGATCCTTGTGTTGTGGCCGATAAGGGCACCTTGAACTTACCTTTTTGAACTTAGAATTTTTCCTAAGTACATATGCAAGGCATAGGTAGCTAACGGCCTTCGAGTGTGCAGGTACCCGCTTCATCTAGAGTTTCTCCATTTAAGTACTTATAGATTTTTCTAAGTATAAATGTGAGACATAGTTCCTTCTTTGCGGTACCGCTACCGGCTAGGAGATGGCCCTACCGTCATCGGCCAAGGTCTGGCTTGTGGCCGATGAGGGTGCCCCTTGCTTCCCCAAAGAGATGGCCCTACCTTCATCGGCTAAGACATAGTTCCTTCTTGAGGAACCTTTTTTCTCAGAATTTTCTCTAAGTGTTTGGTAAACACTTGGACAAATCCCCAAAGAACTTTTGCTTGACCCACAGCCTGGGGTTCAGTGCCTGTATCGGCCACCTGGGATGCTGTGGTCAATAGGGATTGTTTCTTGATTGCTTGATTCTTCCGCGGGTGTGATAAGTGCCCGCTTCGTCCTGGTCATCCTCAGGATTGTAATTCTTTATTTCATACCAAGCGTTGGTGCTTCAAAGGGCTGTGGCCGATGAAGGTTACCTCTCGCGTGTCACCCAACCGATTTGGTTAGGGTTTTATAGGCGTATGCTTCGGCCTTGATCATTCCCTTGCGGTGTGTGGACGTATCGTCCATGTCACCTGTTAGTGGTACTACACTTGTGTTCAACTGATATGTACTTGGCCTAGTTGGGCCTGAATTGTGGGGATTTCATTTTTTCATTGCTCGAGGCCGGCTAGTGCGCACGGCCGTCGGCTTCTCTCTTTTTTCTTTATATTTTTTTTTGCTTCCGTCCCCTTTTTCGGGGAGTATCTTTCTTTCAGGCTTCGGCCGAAGGGTGTGCTCGTCCTTCGGCCGGTTCGGACTTCGTTTATAACGTCCGTGATTTCAGGGCGGGTCCCGTCGCCTATTTATGACGCGGGCTAGACTTTTGGTCGGTTTCCAACGGCTGTCGTTCCCATCCCTGAGTTTTGGGATTTTGTCACCTCGGCCATGATTTCAGGCCTGTCGTCCTGCGATCTGGCGCGTGGACGACGCGGTGAGCTTCCCGTTTCAAGACGTGGGCCGTTTGCGGGCCCCTCGTGCTGGGGACATCGTCGGCCATACCTGAGCTTTTCACTTCTAGGCTTACGGGGCCAGGACGATGTGCTCTCTCAGCTAGGCCTGAGCCCTCCGCTGATACAAAATACAATAGAACGCCTGATCTTGTCGATCGTAGGCTACAAGTGCAAGGGGCCCCGTCGGCCATGCCTGAGCCTTTTGCTCTAAGGTGGCCGATGAGGGCACCTGCTAATGTTTTTTACTTTAAATTCCAGAGAAAAAATCAAGAGGAACATGATTTTTTTCATAAGTGGCTCGAGGGCGAGGGTGGCGTTCAATCAGTAACCCGTTAAGGGGTGTGGGCTTCGCCGTCTGCACCTCCTTCGGATTACTGATAAAACTTCACCAGATGGTGTACATTCCACGTTCGTGGTACATTGGACCCATTCGGGCGTTTAAGCTTGTAGGTGCCGGGTTTGACCACGGCACTGACGATGTAGGGCCCTTCGTACTTCAATGCTAGCTTGCCACCCTCTGTCGGCTGGCTTGCTTCCCTTCGGCGGAGGACGTAGTCCCCCACCTGAAATTCCCGGGAACGTACCTTGGCGTCATAGTATGATTTTACTTGACACCGGTAGTTCTCTGCTCGAACGTAAGCTTGTTCACGCCTCTCATCGACCAGGTGCAGGTCAATCTTCATGCTTTCTTCGTTGGCGTCAGCCGTCAGGCTCGTATTGTTCCACACGTCGGCTGGGGATGGCAACTTCCGTGGGTGCCTTTGCCTCAAAGCCATAGCATAGGGCGAAAGGCGTTTCACCTGTCGCCCTCCTCGGCGTGGTTCTGTAGCACCACAGGATGTTGGGGAGCTCGTCGACCCAACTACCTCCTGCGGCCTGGAGTTTCTTCTTCAGCCCCTCCATGATTGTTCTGTTGGCGTTCTCGACCTGCCCGTTGCCCTGAGGGTAGGCAACGGAGGAGAAACGATGCTTCACCCCAAACTCCCGGAGGAGCTCCTGGAAAGGGGCTGCCTCGAATTGGATGCCGTTGTCTGATATAATCTCCTGGGGGACGCCGAAGCGTGTGATGATGTTCTTGTAAACAAATTTTTGGCATCTGGCCCCTGTGATGCTGGCCAGGGGTTCCGCCTCGACCCACTTGGTGAAGTAGTCGACGGCGACGATGATGTAGTGGTTGTTCCCGGCGGCTCTGGGCAGGGGGCCGACCAGGTCAATCCCCCATCTAGAGAATGGAATTGCGGTGCTGACGGGGGCGTAGTTGACGGCTGGCCGACCATGGGCCTTCTGGAACACCTGGCACGTGGTACACTTCCTGGCCAGGTTCGCACAGTCTCGCGCCATCGTCGGCCAGAAGAAACCCTGGACGACGAGACGTCGGGACATGCTGAAGGGGCCCTGGTGCGAGGAGCAGACGCCACAATGAACTTCTTCCGTGAGGTTGAAGGCCTCCTGGAAGACGTCCCCTCCGCCGACCTAGTCGGCCGTGGCGTCCTCGTCGTGCTCCCTGGGCTCTTGGTCCTCAGGGATGGCCTTGCTGACGAGGTTGCGGTTTGACTTAGTTCTTCCCATGATCAGTGGTTAGCCGCGCTTGGTAGCGACGAAGGGTGCTAACTTGATTGTTCTAGCTCTCAACGAGAGCACCAAATGATAGAGTATATCTAGAGAGAAGTGAGAGCTAGAGAGAGAAGTGCAATAATATGCTTCAATAGAATGAATTTGTAACCCCCTATAACTACTCCCAAGGGGAGTATTTATAGAGAAAATACGGGCTGGGCTCCCAAACCTTGGGCTTGGGAGGCCCATTTACAACTGGACCGCTACTGGGCCGAATACAAAGCCACTAATGGGCTGTACGAATGAGTAAGTATAAAATCCGGTTCTGTGAGGTCTTCGTGGCCGACGAGGGCGTGGCCGACGAGGGCACGTCCGACGAGGGCACGTCCGACGAGGGCACGACCGACGAGGGCACCCGGGTTCCCTGGGCTCAGGACCATAATCTGAGTTGGCACCTTCTCGGCCGACGGGGGTCCCTTGGCCGACGTGGGCTCCACTCGGTGTCTTGTGCTTTCTGTTCTGAGTATGTGGGTCCAGGGGCTCAGACCCATATACTCCATCAATAGTTTATGATTTAAAATAGTAAAGGAAGCACGAACCACGTCTTCCTCTAGATTCTTTCCACCCGTGCAAAGGTGTAGACAACAGGCTCTAGCTTCAACCTGAAATGGTGGCCCCCCCGAAGGGGTCAGTACATATACCGAGCGAGTAGCAAGCTAAATGTAGAGTAACTAACGTTTCAAGTATAAGACCCAAACATAGGGTGGTACATATACTTATACTTCCTTACCCCAAGTTACAAAATACATATCAGTACTTATATACACTTGGAAATACCCGACCCGTAGGTCATTGTTTAATTGGGAAAAATAATAGTAGTCAATGTCCTTAACTTAAAACCCCAACCCACCCATAGGCCTATGAGTGTATAGGACTCCTCCTGTCCAAATCAAATAATCATAAGGACACCGCCCGGTCCTGAATTACTAAATAGTAATCTATGAGTTTTGAGGATACACGCCCGATCCTTGGGTACTCCACCCTATATAACCGAGTTTTGAGGATACCGCCCGATCCTTGGGTACTCCACCCTATATAACCGAGTTTTGAGGATACCGCCCGATCCTTGGGTACTCCACCGATTTATGATCTACCACATATCATACTAGATAGGTCCTATATAATAATCAATAAACAAGACTAGACCAAGTCTTAAGGTCTAAACAAAATCATCCATGCAACTCATGCATTAAAATTAGCATATAGGTAAAGTAAGGCCAAAC